TTAAGATATATATCTTTTAAAATATACAGTTGATTATTTAATGGTAATATGTTTAAAGTTGGGGAATGAATCATTAAATTAGATAGATTGAGGCGATATACCATGTGGATCCTAAATGTATTGGTTTTGTTTTATTTTATTTTTTTAGATTGTTTATTATATAATTGGCTTAGAGAAAATTAAGGATAAGAATGATGTGTAATGTTAAATAAAATAGGTGGTAAGCTAAAAATGGATATAATCGGGGATAAAGAACTGGGAATCTATATCTGGATGAAATGATATTGATATTGAATTAATGAATTGAAATATGAAATGGAAATTTATTTAAAGATAAGTGAAATGGATAATGATATGAGATGATATTACGTAAGATTGGTGGAAATGAAAGTATGATTATGTACAAGAACCACGTTGCCACGTAAAGATGTGTAAAAATTAAAAAATTAAGAACTTTTTGGGAAAAAAAGAAAAAGAAAAGAAAATATAACTTGGAAGGGACCACCGAGGCCATAAATCCTATCCTTTGCTTATTTCAGAAAGCCAAACTGAGCTTCATCAATAGCTGGAAGCCCAAAGAACACTTGAAGAAAATTATTTTATCATTAGACAAAAGAATAAACTTACTGGTAAATATTAATCTTGCTCTTTTTCAGATGCAGAAGAATGCAGCAAATGTCCAGCAGACCAATATCCAAATAACAACCGAGATCACTGTATTCCAAAGATTATAACTTTTCTATCCTATCAAGAAAAATTGGGGATCACCTTGATTTCCATTGCCTTGTTTCTCTCTTTCATCACATGCCTTGTCTTGGGAACCTTCATTAAATTCCAGGAAACTCCCATAGTCAAAGCCAACAATCGGGACCTCTCTTATATCCTTCTTGTTTGTCTCCTGCTTTCCTTCTCCACCTCCTTCTTGTTCATTGGCCAGCCAAGGAGAGCCACCTGCCTTCTTCGACAAACAGCCTTTAGCATCATCTTCTCTGTTGCCATTTCTTCAGTCTTGGCCAAAACCATCACAGTGGTCCTGGCCTTCTGGGCCACAAAACCAGGGAACAATGTTCAGCAATGGCTTGGAAAGAATTTGACCAACTCCATCATCCTTTCCTGCTCTGGTCTCCAAGTTGTTCTCTGCAGCATCTGGTTGGGTATTTTCCCTCCATTCCCTGAATCTGACATGCACTCACAATCTGGAGAAATCATTCTACAGTGCAATGAAGGCTCTGTCACCATGTTTTATGGGGTTTTTGGTTACATGGGGTTCCAGGCCACCATCTGCTTCACAGTGGCTTTCCTGGCCAGGAACCTACCTGGGGCGTTCAATGAAGCCAAGCTTATTACCTTCAGCATGCTGATCTTCTGCAGTGTCTGGGTGTCCTTTGTGCCCACCTACCTGAGCACCAAAGGGAAGTACATGGTGGCTGTGCAGGTTTTCTCCATCTTGGCCTCCAGTGCAGGACTTCTGATCTGCATCTTTTTCCCCAAGTGTTTCATTATTTTTCTAAGACCAGATCTGAATACAAAGGAACATGTGATGTCAAAATAAGCAGACTTGCAAAATTATGTTAGCATAGCTTGATAATAAAGTAAAATTAGTTTACCAGTTGTGTTTTCCCATCTGGTCTACCTAGTAAAACTGAGCGGATCATAATCCACAGATAAGGGAACTCTCATGATTAAAGATATCCCTACAAGTGGTGGGATTCTGTGGGCGTGGCTTGGTGGGCGTGGCAGGGGAAGGATACTGTAAAATCTCCAGTCAGAGGTGGGATTAGCCAGTTCTCTGAACTACTCAAAATTTCCGTTACCGGTTCTCCAGAACTGGTCAGCACCTTCTGAATGCCCACCTCTGATCTTTACCCATTTCAGACAAGGTTATATTACTGCCTTTGCCTAACAAGGTTTCACTGACAAATGCTAGATTCATTGTCTCCTCCCTTATCAAGATGTAGATCAAGATACAGATCTGGCATTAAGCATTGATATCTTAAGATCTCCAGCAATTCAGACATCACAATCACAGAATAGAAGGCAGGGTCACCACCAGATTTAGAGGGATGGCTTACCCTATTATAGTCTACCATTCACATTTTACATTCCTTGGCCAAACACCAAAGTAATGCAACTGTCCTTGATCCTCTGGTTTGTTTCCAGCATTGAGCTTTCATATCTCCTATCACTATCCTGTCCGCTATTGGAACATAGCCAGAGGACTATTAGGTTGCTGGGAAAGAGAGAAGAGAGGAGTATTAGGTAGGTTTGCCTCCTTGAATTACTTTTAAAGTCATAAAGGTGGGGTTGGTATAAAGATAAAGGAGTCCTGGCAGATTTTATTTCGCTGAACATAGTTCCAACTATAGGGAACAGTGCTCATCTCTGTTTCAAGGCCATTGAGCATTGTCCAAAGACATTTCTGTGGTCATATGACCAGCATAATGTCAAGGAGCACTGTTACCTTCTCACCAAAGTGGTACTTATTTATCCATTTGTATGCTTTCAAGCTGCTAGGTTGACAGGGCTGAGGTGAGGACAGAACCTCACCCCATCATGTGGTGCCTGTGTCTCAAACCTGGGTTGCCAGCTTTTACAGCCAACAAGCCCAGCATCTTATGCACTGAGTGACTGCACCACTCCCAAAAGTTGGGAGAAAAATCTAATAAATAGATAAATATAGATGGGGAAATATATTGATAGCATTTTGCAAGACTGTCCTTCTGTTCTATATTTGGGGAATGATAGCTCTGGTTGGGATATTTGCAATTGTATATCAGATATAAATACAATTGAGCGAGTCCAGAAGTATTTTAGCAGAAGAGTACTACATTCCTCTGTTCACAACAAAATACCCTACACCACCAGTCTTGAGATTCTAGGCTTAGACAACCTTGAACTATGCCGGCTAAGATTGGACTGAAGCATAGTACATAAAATCATATGTTACAATGTCTTACCAGTTAATAAATATTTCGGCTTTAACCACAACAATACAAGAGCACACAACAGATATAAATTTAATGTAAACCATTCCAAACTTGCTTACAGGAAGTTTAATTTCAGCAATAGAGTGGTCAATGTCTGGAACTCACTACCTGATTCTGTTGTCACCTGCTCAAACCCCCACTCCTTTACCCTCAAACTAACCTCTATTGACCTCACCCCATTCCTAAGAGGTCTGTAGGAGGTGTGCATAAGCGCACAATCATGCCTACCGTCCCTGTCCTATAGTCCCCAATTATTGGTTCCTATTTCTTGTATTTAAACTCTTGTTTATTCTTATTTCTATTGTATTGTAAGCTTTTGACAAAATAAATAAACAAACAAACAAACAGATAGATAAATTGTAATTATTTAGGTTCATCCCTTCATCTTCCAGATTTGCTTTACCATCCTATTTTCACTTTCAATGAAGGGTCTATGACAATTTGCCATGAAGAACTTGTCATGGCCAACTCACCACAGCCAGCTTGCCATGACCAGCTTGCTGTGGCCATCTTGCCCTGGGACAACTCACAGCAGGACAAGTGTTAGACTAATATCAAAGAAATGGTGGGATAGAATCATTAAAGAAAGGATGCCAAAGGAAAGCTGTTAGGAATAACATAGGTTACCTAACGTAGTTTGGGTAAAATAATATATATAAACTATGATTGTAAGTTTAAGTGTGTGTCACTTTAAAAGTGCAAAGCATGTCATTTTGGGTGTGGTGTGAAACCACCATAAGAGGGAGCAAGAGAACCTGACAATTACTGGATTGCATGGATTGATGGTTTGTTAACTGCGTGTTTTCCCCTACTGCTGAGTTGCTGAAGGAAGAGAGGAGTTTTTGACTTCTTCATATCTCTACTGCGAGGAGATATATTACTGGACTGATATTTGTAAGTTTACTGACCTCTCTTTTTCGACACTGGAATTTGCAACTGAATAATCCCTGGATGGACTGAATTAGTGAATGATATATGGACTGTTTGACTATGCTATAACTCTTACTGGAATAAACTATTTAATTAGCACTGTGTATCTGTTTTACTGAGTGTAAGTTACAAAAACGTTTATCTCACATATTTTGCCTGCCTGACTGATTGCTGTGCAGATTCTGCTAGGGTGTATCCCTAACAAAAGCCAGAAAGAAATGTGAATGACAAAATTAAAACACCTTTAAATTTTATTTTAAATAATTAAATTGAATTGTTAAATTGTCCTGTGGCAAGTTGTCCTACAATGAGTTGACCATGGCAAGCTGTCCTGCAGCAAGTTGGCCATGATGGGGCCAGTTGTCCCATTCTACCTTTTCAAAGCTCTTTTTGGAATTGAAGAATCTCCGGAAAAAAATACGGAATGGAATGCTGAACTTTTGAAAATATTTCTTGGCAGGATACAGGAGTTTTCAATTGCATCATACTGATGTCAGAAGCACCAAGGCATGTCCTGGTTGAAAGGATGAGTCAGTGATATCACCATTGCCCTGACGATTCCCAGTTCTGGGTTCCTTTCATGTCCCCTGGAGGACTGGAGAGAAGAACAGGAACTCAACCCTGCCCCACGGCAGTACTTGGGTCTTGAACATGGGCTTGTTAACTTCCAACCCCACATCTTAACCAGGTGAGCCAACGTGCTGTCTTAGATGCTTTCAATTATTACATTCCTTATCCTGGTTATCAACCTGGAGGGATCACTCTTGTTGAGCAAAAGACCCAAATGCCATCAAAAGAAGAAACCATCAGACTTTATTTCCCTGCTAGAATAGCCCATGATTTCAATCCTCAGAAGAGATTCTCTCAGTCTAATTTTCTGGGATCCAATGTGGTTGAGCACAAAAGGGAGATCCATGATTGACATGCAGGTCTTCTCCATCTTGGTCTTCATTGATGGGCTACACATAAAACTTGATCTGATTGCTCAGGATATCCAGCTGTACATCTCCAACCTGGACTGTACCAGTGTGCTTAGTTATACCTACTCAGTGCATGCAGATTACGAGGGACTGGATAGTGATGGTAGGTTGCACCACAGCCCTAAGTGGAACTGAGTGTCTCTGGGTTTTGGCTAGCCTGGTTCCAGAACTCTTCCATCAATAACTGTAGATAGAGTAGTACTTCACCAAACCAAAATGGTATACAAACCGGGGGTCCTTCTGGATTCATGACTCCTACTTCTAGGAGAGCTTTTGCACTGGTGGTACCCTATCTTCAACCCCAGGTCTTTGCAAATAGTCACTTAGGTGTTCTTTACCTCCTGTCTGCATAATTGGAATGAACTCTACTAACAACTAATTAATTCCATTAATTTTGGTACAGTTTTTCTTTATTCTTTTTTTTTCCTATTGACTTGAAAATATAGCCAAAGTCCACCTCAAATATAGACTAAATATATCCAGATCTGGGTGGATCCATGTTATGCACATTCTAACACTCTCTTGACACTGGTTTGTAAAAAGCATTTTTGTAGATAGATTTGGACGTGAGCTTTCCTGTCCAGCTCAATGGCTTATCTCTAGAATTGGAACACATCTGCAACTTCCTTCTTATTGTCATTATTCAAACTATAGTGATTTAGTTGTTGACCTGATGCTAACTGTCTTGAGACCTTTCTGCAATGTTTGACACAAAATGTAACGCGTTTTTACCTTGTTTTCACACAAAAGCCTCGTGGGCTGCTGCCATGGCAATAGAAATCCATGGGTGCATAAATGGGTTTGGAGAGATCCTGAGGAGGTTTTTAGGGCAGACAGAGAGCTTTCTTCTCCTCTCCACTTCAGAAATGAAGCCTTGGTTGGATTCAATCTGAAATAAGAAAGCTTTCTTCCACCTCGTCTTCTCACTTTTTATTCAAACCACACACCGGTTTGGAGGCTCCATTAGGAGCACAAATCATGTTGCTAGTTCTATGGGTCCAGGGAGTTTGGGGGTTGCTCAAACCCAAGTGCCCCCTGACACTGCATAGGAATGAGGTGGATCCAGAGAATCATTACAAGCTAGGAGAACTTTCCATTGGTGGCATCATCTCTGGAACTCAGGCTACGTTTGAAAGGTTAAGTTTCAAAAACACTCCGGGGACTCCAGTATCCGCATAAGTCAACCTTCCTTCCTACGTTTCTTCAAACATAGCCTGCATTGCAGCTACTCTTTCTCTGGCTTATTTCAACCATTCCACCAGCTGGCTTTATGCCATTTCACCCTGAAAGCTCTAACTGAGATCCTGCATCATTTGAAATTCTCAAGTGTTATCCTCAAGCAAGGCTCTTCATTTTTTCTTGATTTTGAAAAGCTTGCCCTTGGAAAGGAATAGAAGTTGTCATTGGAAGTTGTGGGAGTGTCATCACATGAGACTTTCAAGAAGAGATTGGACTGCCATCTGTCAGAAATGGTGTAGGGCCTCTGGCTTGGGCTAGATGACCTACAAGGTCCCTTCCAACTCTGATTATCTGTTATCTTCTGTTGAAGAACAGTCAGTTTCCTTGACATCCTTGGAGCAGAGCAGGTTTCTGGAGAAAGAGGAGAGGAATTTCCTCCCTTTCCCCATAAATTTATCAATGTGGACATGTGGTCT